GTACAAACCTGTATTTTCATCTGTGTAGTGATCATCACCTACAAGTTGTTTGGATTCCTCAAATTCAGCACACTCGAAGTCTGAGTTCCTCTCCTAGGCTAAACTTGCTTTTCCTGACTGTATTTTCTACCTTACTGCATGGTATCATTATCACCTACTGACTCAGGCCGGATGTCAAGAGGTCTTCACTTGACTCTTCACTCTTCTGTACCCACTGTACGTTGCTAAACTGGAGATGAACCAAAGATGAAGGCTATGGGTATAGGCAAGTTTGAAATCAGTGTCAACTGGTCATTAGAAAATGAAGTAGAAAATTCATATCAGGAAATAAAGTCACCAGAGGATATGTCTTGGGGGTGACCCACCTTATAGTCCTCTCACCCACTTCACTGACTGCTGCTTGTGTTCCTATTTTCAGCTCATCACTCCTAGATCGCTGCAACAGCCTCTGGAATGCCCTGTCTTCCTTGTCAGTTTCCTTAACCCAAATTCTAGGTGACAGTCGAGACTTCTTTATAAACACTGTGTGCACACTGTTCCCTCCACTAGAATGCTCTTCTTCCCAACCCAACAGAGTTCTATTTCAAATATTATTTTTGTCCTTAAGTGTTCTTGCTTCTCCATTCCTTCATATTCCCAGAAGCCTTTATCAATTTCTCTTCACTGCATGTAAACCTTTATAACTTGATATTTCTACTTCCAACTAAATATTTTTAGTAAAGTGAAACCAAGTCAATCTGAAAGGAAGCAGGGGTGCAACTGGGAATTGGATTAATGTAAAGGCTCTCTGGAACAGCCCATGGCAATGGTCCTCAGTTTGGCCTGCACTTTGGAATCAGCTGGTAACTAAAATGCTGATGCCTAAGTCCCAGCCCAGAGGTCTTGAGTGCGGCATGGGCATTGAGTCTTTTAAAAAACTCTCCAGGTGATTCTGATGTGCAATGTAGGCTGAAAAGCACCGCTCTGTGAGGAACCAAAAAAAAAAATGAGGTAAGAGATTAATAAAGAATTTTTAAATAGATGATCTGGTAAAAATCAGTAGATATCACTCAAGGTAGGCAGATATTAATAAGCCTAGGAAGTGAAGAATTCAGTGGTGCCTGGCACAGCAAGGGTTACAATGGCTTACAATTTAACTCTAGGCTGAAACCAAACAAAATGAGACCGGCTGGGAAAGGATGGTTAAGGGAAACTGCCTGGAATGAGGACAAAGAGCAAGTGGTGGAAATGGGAGGTGCATTCAGAAAAACAATTCTGAAAAAGATGCTGTAAGTTGGGAAGTTTTCAAAAAGGACAAAACTTGATGGGTGGCAACAATGGTGTGTTGCTGAATGGCTGAATGCTACAGGTGCAGGCAAGTTTTGAAATCAGGGTCACTCTGGTCATCCACAGTGAGGAGGAAAATTCATGTCAGCAGCTGAAATCATAAAGGAACACAGTATCCTGGAGGTCTGACAAAGATGACAGCACAATCGTGGAGACAGGTGTTACAAACTGTGATGTAGCTGTGAAAAAAGGAGGTTTCTGTGGAGTACATTATCCTCTTCCTCTCCCAAAAAAGTTCTTTTGGTTTAGAAAACCAGGTTTGCATTTTAAGATAGTTCTGTGTCAGTAGCTGTAATAATCCATAATCTTATTTTCATCACTAAGCACTAAATGCTTAAAATATACAGTAAATGCAAAACCAAATAAATCCTTAAATACAAAAACCAGTGCTCATGGCAAACATAAAGCAAGCGCATGGAGTCGCCACTAAAATGACTTTCACAGTATTAGCGTGTGAAGACTTTCTCATTTTACTTTGGTGCTTCCCAAAACTCTGATCCTTTCCCCTACTTGATTCCCATGTGCTGCTTAAAAAACCAGTGAGTCTGTAGAGGAAGAAAACACTTTAACTGTACACTAAGCTTAAATACTATCAGAAATACCAGACCTCAAGCTCACTAAATTCTCTGAAATACACACATACTGAAAATATCATGGTTGACCAGTATCTCTCTACTGTGTGAATGCATTACAATGATTCTCCAGCAAGAGACAGGTATATTATCAGAGTAATTTGCCTTTTAATATGAGTAACTGCATAGATAAATTCACCTAAAACACTCAATCAGTGGTTAAGTGCTTTAGAATCATGTTCACTTTAGTAAATGTTAAACCTAATTTATCCCAGTAATAAAGAAAAAATAACATTTAATTTTTATAAGGAACATCAACACCCTACCTGGCAGGGATGGGCATGGGGAACCATTTTTATTACCAGAGAATGAAAAAAAATATATACAAAGGAGAAATGCAAGGGAAATCCACATGACACTGGTATTAGGGACAAAATAATTCACATTACAGTCCCGCATCATTATGGCAAAATGTATTTGCATCACTAAGTATAAAAGAAAACACTGTAGCCTACAGAGGAAGTAAAAACTATTACAATGAATAGTACCTAACATTTGACATATCAATGCCATTTCCAGATCCTAGTAATTAAACCCAGAAAGAAAGTAGTTTACTGATCTGTTTTCAACATCCTGAAAATTTCAACTGCTTTTTTCATTCTGAATAAGAAACAGCTATGGCAAGAGCTTCGTACCCTGCCTGCTACATGGTAGGCACTCAGTAATGACAGTTTTCAATTTCGTTCACTTGATCTTTCCTTCCCTACCTACCACACAGATTCTAACTACTCTTTATCTTTAAAGAACATTGAACATTTTCAAATCAAGACAACAAGCACACTGCATTAAATGTTAAGCATCCATGTTAACAAGAGACATCTAATTATAAAAGTGTGTACATGCTAATTTCTTATACATGAGGGTAAGTCAGATTTAAGGTTGACAACGATGAACAAAGAAAAAAAATGGGAAAGAAAGGTAAAAAGAAACTAATGAAGGTGCAGAGAAATAATGGAAAGAGAATGCAATGGCAACGTTAGTGTGAAGAGTAATGGATAAATTCAAGTGTTAGATCTATCATGATCTATCCCACATGAATGTGCTAAGAGGACACAGAGCTGTACTGATGACTGGGTTTCGGGACTTCTATAACTACCAGATGCGTTCATTTTCATACTTTCAATGATTCGCTTGGGCAACCTTTGGAAGTCACCCCAGCTACCACCATGAGCTGCTGGCCCCAAAGACGTCAACGGCTTCTCCTGCTTCCGAGCTGGTTCTACGAGGAGTGGCTCTTATAGGGTCCTCAGTTTCTTCAATGTGATCTTTGGTCCCTCAGGAAATGACTTGACTCTCCCAGAGTAAACTCAAAAAGACACTCAAGAGAGTGTTCCTGCTAAATCCTCCAGTATTGGTGCTATGTAGTTGTTTCAAAGAGCAGATCTTGTGATGAACTAAGTCAAAACCTCCCTAAGGCTGGGTATAAAAAAACCTGCAGGTGCCAAGCAAGGCATCACCTTACCCTTGTCATTTGCCCACTTTTTGCTATGTCCTGATTCTCCCTGGCCTTAGGTGAGTCTCCCTCCTTCTCTTAAATAGTCTTCCTCAGTATTGCTCTTAGAAACTATTACTCCTTCAGCCTGCCTCCGAATTCCAGTACTGTTAGCACTGAGCAGCTCACAAAATTCCTCGTAACAGCTCGCTCTCTAGGGTTGCACAAGATCTCATGTCACTGTCAGCACTGGAGAGGTCAAAGCGCCTCATTAAATTATGTATGCTAAATTATAATAATGAATTCTGGGCTAATAATTGTAATTTTCTATTCTAAGTGATTTAGGATGAAAATTTTCAGGATTTTGTTCCCATTAATTTGTAAGACTGTGATAAACAGTCCCGTTTTTCCAGATTTACACATAATAGTTACATTATGAAAAAGATCGTTTTCATTATTCATTCACTCAAACATATTGCATGCCCAGCTCTACCTTGTATTCCTGGCAATACAGGGAACAAGACAGAATCCCAAAATGTCATAATAGCTTCTACACTGTGATACTTATCTCCAAAATAATCAGACATGTTTTAAGTATTTTATTTTTATTATTTTAATCCTACCCAAGAACATTTTTATTGATTTTAGAGAGAGAGAGAAAAATATCTATGTGAGAAAGAAACATCAACTGGTTGCTTCCTATATGCACCCCAACCAGGGATCAAACCCATAACCTAGGTATATACCCTGCCTAGAAATTGAATGTGTGACCTTCTGAAATATGGAATGATCAATGTTCCAACCAAGTGAGCCACTGGCCAGGGCTTAAGTGTTTTATTTAATGGCAAAATAAATAAATAAATAAACTGGGTAATACTAAACGTACAGGAAGGAAATATACCAGGACTAAATATCGTGGAAATTCTTTAAAATTTAAGCCTTTTTATGCATTATGAACATGTAATGACTATGATAAGAAATATTGGGCACTGAAATATTTGCTGTTCACTTAAAGCTAGTACTTCTAAAATTGCTACCACTATGCCTATGCAGATCACATAAAATGTACTAATTGCTTAAACAGAACTGTTTGTCAAGAATAAGATTTTCATGCCAAGAATGAAAAAACACAGCACAAAGGATGTCAAAATTATTATATTGTACTATAAATATCAAAAGATAAATTTTACTCTTCTTAGCACATAGATAATTTATGTTTTTCAAACTTAATTGATAGTTTTTGGATTATAAGGAGCATGCAAATATATTAACAATATTCTTACTAAAATAGAGCCCAATATATGTATGAAAAACATCTAGGGAAAGTGTCCTTGGTTTTAACATGCATGTGTACATAGAAATAAGCATATACTCACAGCAGTTACATACACCGACAAAAAGTTAGATTTAGCAAGGATAAAAGGCAAACAAAAAAATCCTACTAGGCCTTTTTGTTTGTTTTTCTGCCTGTACATCTTGACAAAGAATGTGAAAAAAATTACTAAAGTAACAAGAAAGGACACAAAAACCACACTTCAAACAAACTCCTTGTCAGTATTAGAACCTGATTTGACAAACAGGTTTAATCCACAACCTCAAAGGTCATGCTATCAAGGTGAAGGATGAGCATCTACTGAGTTAGACTGGCCGTCATTCTGAGAAGCAGTGTGCTCCTCCGCCTCTTCCACGTGGGTCACTTTATCTGACTGCCTTGCAGGAGGAAGTGCATTATTTGTCTCCTCTTCACTAGGTGGTAAAATACCAGGCCATTCATTTGACATCAGAACTTGCAATGATTGTGTTCCATCTTCAACATCCACTTGAATCCCCAAAGCATTAAGAATGTCACATTTGCACATGGGGCATGTTCCATGGGCTAGAATCCAAGGGTCAATGCAATTCTTGTGGAAAAAATGTTTACAAGTCAGAATACGAACTGTGTCATTAGGCTTGTAGAGTTCAAAGCAAACTACACAACTATCTCCATTTGGACTTACTTCCTCATCCCCTTCTTTCAGTACCCGAAGTTGGAGCTGGCCAAATGCTATCTTGAGATCTGTCTCTAACCGCAGCCATCTCCTGCTCTGAATCCTTGCTACCCAAAATCTTCGAATATGATAAAAGATGAAGTATGCTAAAGTAGCGGTTGTGACAATCACAAAAGAGACGAAATAATGATTCATCCAGATGATGTGTTTTCTCCCCACGTCAACTATGACTGTAACGTGAATTCCCTTCCGAATTAAATGCAAAATCTCCATGCCTTTTAAGTTACCAATCATCACTACAACGATGTCTTCGAATGTCTGATGAGACATAGGAAAAACCTGATTGCCAGTTCCTGGAAAGTTATAGATCATCACTCCACTGGCTCCCTTCTCAACAGCCACCTTAATTTTCTGTGTGAAGGGACAACCTCCCCGTTCGATAAGTGCAAGCCACGTCTCTGAATTCTTTGATCTGCTGAAACTGGTATTGGGATTACAGGCATTTTGTGGTTTTCCATCTGGTGGCACAATAACTCCTGCCACTCTCTTCAGAGTGGAGCTTCGTCCAAATACTCCAGTTTCCCCTAACTCTGACAGCATGCGATTCCCAACATGATATGATATGTTCATGTAAGCGGTCCAAACCGTGCTGGCTTTGCAACAGCTCTGACTAAGAAGCCAAAGAACACTGAATTTCACAAGCCAGGAAGATGCAGTGTTGTTTCTCTGGGTGCCAACCTGGAGTAGATTCATCTCTCTCTGCCTAGTAACCAAAGGATCAATCCAATTAAAAGATGTGCCTTTCATATCTGTTGACAATCAACTTAAAATAACAAAATGAAAAAAATCTCCTGGGTGAAAACAAGTTCCACTATCTTCCAGCATGTTTTTGTGAGAAATTCTTAAAGACGTCGCATGAGTTTCAGATGTTTCATTAGAGGCAGAGAGAGAAAAACTTTACATTGGGGGGAAAAAAAAATCCTAGTCTCACTACTGTAACTCTAGATACTGCTTACTGTTGGGTGATATGATTATGACATAAAAGTCAACACAGCCAATTAGATTAGAGCTTAGGACATCCTGTAAAATGTATTGGCTTGAGAGTTTCAAAGGTTGTTATGGGTGATTTCTATGTTGTTATAAGATGGATCCCATCTCTGAGCGACATAAAATGTTAGCAAGAACCACATTAAACTAAAAATTAAATATAAAATTCATACAATGCCTGCCTTTTAAAACCTGAGAAGATATGCATATGCAAGAAAGCCATATAACTATGATTTTTCTTCAAAAGAAATATTTAACAAAATGATTAGTTCTAACAAAATAATTTAAAATTAGCACTTTATTTTTACTTTATTTATTTTTACTTTATTTTATAAATTACCAAATATGAGGTAAAAAGGAGGACTTCTGAACACCATTTTTAATTCTTGTTTAGTCTCAATGCAAATTCTTTATTTATCATGTAAACCACTGTACTAAATTTACTTATTAAAAGTCTGCTGGTTTAATTTGGATTTGAGTTTTAAAAGTAGTGTATCCTGACCCTAGCCTGAGTGGTTCAACTGTTTGTGCATCATCCCGCAAACCAAAAGGTCAGGAGTTTGATTCTCAGTCAGGACACAAGCCTGTGTTGGGTCCCTGGAAGGGGTGCATGCAAGAGGCAACGAATTGAGGTTTCTCAAATCGATGTGAGATGATTCTCTCCCACTCTTTCTCCCTCCCATCCCCTCTCTCTAGAATCAATAAAAAAATAAATAAACAAAAGTAACATATCCTGTTTTCCTCACTCTTACACTGATCATACATAGGAATGACAGCAGTAAAGACAAAAACACTAATCTCATTTCTCCACAGACCTTGCCATCTGTTACTCATCCAACAATATTTTGAGGGAAGAGGAGGAAGGGCATAGACTGCAGAGGGAAAGATTAAATGTAGCAGTATTAGATTAGTACAACTCATTGTAAACAAAAACGTAGCTACTGATTTTAAAAAGTTTTAAGGTCCCCACTTAAAATCAACCACTGAGAGCAGTGACTATTAAATGTCATAGATGCTTTTAATAAAGTATTAGCCAAAATCCAAAATCAACAAACATCCATGGAGGAAGACCTCACACTGTCACCTCTGCCTATATTTTACATACACTTATGTCAATGGCACAATATGACCTCAAAGCCAAAGAGTGACTTGTGAACTAACAAACATGAGCAGTCACTGGTGCTGCCATATACTTTCTTGAGGGTTTATCTCAGTGTTTATTATTTACCAGCTAGGAAACCAGTGAAGGACTTTGACCTTGAACTTAAATGTCTTTGACCTCTATGCACAGGATGCTGAGAGACACTTTTGGTTTGGTCTCACCAGGACAATGGATGGTAATACTTCTATGAAATGTGAATCAACAACATAGCTACTTGAGGCAAAAAAGAGGGAGGAGAAAAGGGATCAATGGACCCAGCAAAAAAGTGGCACAAAAAGAATACTGACTTGAAGCCTTCTGCTCATAATGATCAATTATTTTTATCAAAGGCCATTAATCTGATTGTATTTCTATACAACCACTTTTGTAAAAGACAGTGTAGTACATAGGATGTGGACTCCCAAAATAATGAGTTGGGTATTAATAGTATAGCATATTGTCCATAAACAGAGATTTCATCAAAACAACAAAACCCAAATCATTTAGCCTCTCACAATTACACAGGTGTTTATTCAAAGATTTAAAAAAGGAAGAGGCAAAATAAAGGATACAATTTGGAAAGGTGATTGAAAGTTTCAGCTCTGCACTGTCTATATTATCAAAGAGAGGCACTCACCACCATTCTGAGAAGCATTTACTAGTTTATTTTTAGAAGGGAAATCTGATAACCATAGCTGATTCATTATGCTAGGGTTTAAAAGGCTCTGGCAAACAAAGGTTTTGTAATGCTGTCCTAAATGAGACGTATAATAATTTAAAATATTATTAGTTACATAACAAAAAGTGCTATCATCTGAAATAATTGTTTAGAACATTTACCTACCCAGTCAGTAACTTTGGAAACCAGATTCCTTAGTTATTAAAAAAATTAATTAATGATGGAGAATTAATTCAAGATCTAATCCTATAATAAAGTTTATTGAGCAGAGACATTATCGGATATCAAATATTAAACAAAATATGGTAACAAAGTAGTAAAACTAATACGAAAAACTTTAAAATATGACTAATTCTCTGTGGCATCAATGTCACAAACATTGTAATTTGGAGATAAAGACTAATTTGCTTTTAATATATACTAATAGCCTTATTTGGATTAGAACAAAAAAGTATAACAAAACTTAATAGAAAAACAAGTTCAAATTGGTTGGTGTGATATGGAATTTTATTTTAAAAACACATGAATTTCACCATTTAGTACATGGGTAGAGGAGCTGGAGTTAAATTTTCTCTCTACATACAGTGCTAAAAGAATTTACCTAATTTTAATATTTGAAAAGTCTCAGTTATACCTTCAGAAAATTTTCCAGGTTTCTTAAGTTTTCAGAATGTCACACTTGCATATGGGGCATGTCCTTCGGGCTAAAATCCAAGGGTCAATGCATGCCTTATGGAAAAAATGTTTACAAGTTAAAATACGCACTACATCTTGGGGTTTGTATATGTCAAAGCAAACGACACAACTATGTTCGTTTGGATCTAGTTCCTTATCCCCTTCTTTGAGCACTCGCAGTTGAAGCTGAGCAATTGCTTTCTTCACATATGCCTTTATCTGTCTCCGCCTCCTGGTGGAAGAATTGGGCACTCTAGGTCTCCAGGTACAGTACAAGAAAAGGTAGGCAACTGTGGGAGCCAGGAAGGTAAGCAGAGACATGAGGTAATAGCTTGGCCATGGTATGTGCATTCTCCCCACTTCAATGATGATTGTCACATAGACTCCTTTTTGAATCAAGTGCGTAAGCTCCGTGCCTTTCAAGTTGCCTATCATCACTGCGACTGTATTTCCCGTTCCCTGGTGAGACATGGGGAATACTTTGTTGCCTGTACCTGGATAGTTATAGATGATCACACCATTTGCTCCCTTCTCTGCTGCCACATTGATTTTATGTGTAAAAGTACAGCCTCCCCGTTCAATGAGGGCCAACCAAGAGTCTGCCTGTTCAGGCCTGCTGAAATTGGTCATAGGATTACAAGCGTTCTGATTCCATCCTTCAGGAAGTACCACTGCACCAGACACCCTTTCCAGAGGAGAATGATTCCCGAACACTCCATTCTCTCCTAATTCTGATATAATGCGGTTTCCCACCTGAAATGTTATATTCAGGTGAGCTGTCCAAATGGCTTTTCCTTTTGAGTCAGGGAGGGTAAGCAGTAGAAAGATGCTAAGCCTCAACAGTCGAGATGAAAAAGAACTACGAGTTGAAGTAGTAACTCTAAGTAGCCTCATGCCTCCATTTGCCTATTTACTAACAAACATGAAAAACAAAACTCAATTATAAAATAAAGAAGCTAGTTTCAATAGTAATGGTTGATAATTATAGCATATTAATGGAAAAGGCCTGAGAGGATCAAAGACATCTTGCTCCTTCTAGCATTTTTATTTTGGGTAGATTCTCTTTCTTATAATGAAAAAAGAGTTGTTGTTGGTACAATGTGATTTCAAGAAAATTATGACTTCCTAATGGGTAAATTGTGACATCAGAGGTAGTTAAGCCAATCCAAGAGTTTAAATTACTACAGTGCATACTGAAATCCTATTGGCCAAAAAGCTACTAAGCAATGACTCATATGTAACAATTTGAGTAAAGTCTAAAGCAGTAAATAGATAAGAATTTTGGCTAGAGTCTTCAATTTCTTTCCTAATTCTACACAGATTGACAATGAGTACTTTTATACTCATTGTCTTTCTATCTGTCTGGGAAAGTTGAAATCATGTGTTAGTGCAGGTACCTGGCCAGTTGCCAGTTTTCATGGACAGTATGCTACCTAAAATGCCATTCTATGGGAAGCAGGAACAAATCATTACTACTCTATCCCAATTTTAATGCTTACCCAGGCCTAACAATTCAACATGAGGACAATGTACTATAAACTTATATTGTTAGCCTAATATATTTTCATCTTGCAAGGGGAACTCAACTTCATTAACTAAAATAGCTACCAAGATTATACTGTGTGCTAGACAAATACTAATGTGGGTCCTGTGTCAAAGATGAAAACAGACATATGCCAACTCTGTAGAGTACATTGTCCAGTAAGGGCAGATTTTAAACAGCTACACACACAAATGTAAAACTGCACGTTGTTATAAGGGCTCTGAAAGGGAAACACAGATTATCAAGAGAAAGAACAGATGTAATGGGGAGCTGAACTCTGGTTAGAGGGCACTGCTCTCTAAGAAAGTAACACTCAGTCTGAGACTTGAAGGATAAATCAGAATTGCCAAAGCAAAGAATGAGACAGGACGATTTCAGGCAGAGGAAATAGCAATTTCAGGACCCTAACATAGGAAAGAACATTTTTGTAATCAGGCTTCATGAATTAATTAATTTTTTGGACCTGATCCAAGTCCTCTCTCCTGGGGCCAGGATGTTTGAATGGAAAAGAAGGGCAGGGTACTGGATGACAGATACTACTCTAATAATCTGTTCTTTAACAACATTCAGTACATGGAGTTCTTCTTTTTAACAGCCAAGTATTAAAGAGGTTTTCATTCTGCTGAACTTTGCAGGTAGGCTAAAGAATGAAACATGCTATTGGATTTGATTTGATCCAGTGGTTCAAAAGTTCTTGCTTCTTCCATTTTGACATTTGGCCCATATACAGGTTTCCAACTCTTCCAAAGTTCAGGTTATGCCACTTT